ATGCTTTCTATCTTAATTTATCATGCCATTCCAGTAATCTTTTTGATCCTGTCCCTCAAGCTTATTCACTGTCTTACATTTGCCAAGTATAATTATTTTTCTAATCCATCACTTATTTCAACTATATGCCCAAAGGATGTTACTACTTGCTGATCATTGCCACAAGGGATCAGTCAGCCTTTATTTGGTCCACCTCCAAGGTAGATTTATTGATATTCTCACAATCAATCATAGTCTTAGCTTAATAATCAAAGGCATCAAAGGCAGGGTTTAATTCAGAGGCATCTGATTTTCTCTCAGTATTTCTTATGGTCCAGATTTCACAAAAATCCTTTGAGAGTGGAAAGACCATTTCATTAACCATTCTGATTTTTCTTACAGTTGAAATGTATTTTACCTTCACAATCTTGCCTAAATTTGTCACAACAATTTTTCTAGAGGAATTTCCTTTCTGTTTCTATGGCACATTTTGTCTTTATTCTTGAATCAAAGAAAAGTATCTACAATTTTTGCTTCTTCACTTACTGCTATAAATTCAAAAAGCAAGAAATTTGATACTACCATTGTTTTCTTAGTGGTTAACATGAACTCAGAATTTTCACTTACCATTTTTATTTTTTTAATCTTTACTTCTTTACTCTTGGCTAACAAAATAGCACCATCTGCATAACTCAAATCATTCCTAATTTCAGTCTCCAATTTTAATTCTCAACTATATTCTTTTCCCATTCCTTGCCATACCTAAAACATACTCGCTATATACTGCACATTAAGCAGTTATGAGGAATTTTATTTCTTTCTCAGTTCTGAACAAGTCTTTTCTGCAAATTTAATTCTTATACCGGTAGTAAATTTTTTATCATTATAAAGACTCCTCAAAAAAATAATCAGTTGTTTTGGCATATCAAGTAGCTTTAACATATCCCACATTCATCACTGGCATGATGTACAGTCAAACTGTAGGTTGTGACACTTCTGGGGAGGTTTTCATCAAATTTATGCGGGAGACATAATTGGGTGCACTTGTGTATGAAAATTAGGATCATTGCAGAACTCACTCCTACTTTGCTTGGGCGAGACACATCTATCCTTCGATGCAAAGTCTACAGCAGTGGTGGCGAACCTATGGCACGGATACCAGAAGTGGCACTCAGAGCCTTCTCTGTGGGCACACGTGCCGTTGCCCCAGTCCTAGGCCTTCAGCTGGGTTTTATAAAACCTTTTCGCTTTAGGCCTCTGCCGCCATGTGCAAAAAAAAAAAAAAAAGTTCAATCAGTCAATTTCAACTCGCAGGAAAAAAAAGATCTTGCAAAATTGGAATTGCTTGATTGAACTTTTTAGTCCCACCCAGTCTGCCGTTACTACCGCAGCCACACTCAGCCAATTGGCAACACCCAGCCAATTGGCAACACCCAGCCAATGGGCCACACCCACCCAGCACTCGACGATACATAAGTGGGTTTTGGGTTGCAGTTTGGGCACTCAGTCTCTAAAAGGTTCGCCATCACTGGTCTACAGAAAGCTGAATTGTTGTCAGAACTTGTTCCCATGGTCTTGATCATCCAAGTAACGTGCACAGTAAATTTTAACTAGGCTTCAGCTTTGAGTGTGGAAGTCTCTTGGCATAAACATCCACAACTGCACCCGACACCTGTGCATGTTATTCATGAGCAAACACCAACCTATTTCTTATACCCTATAAATTATTAGGACAATGAGGAAGAGATATTATATCTGGTACTCTGGTAAGTGGGCCACACTAGGGTTGCAAAATCTTGTGTCTTATTCTGAGAACTAGAACACGTTTTACTACACTTAATGTATGTTGCAATGTGTGAAGCTGGTATAATTTGGAAATGTGTTTCAAATTTCCAGTTGTTCACAGATGTAAATGAACTTGTTTTTTTCTTATGATAAATTGGTCTTGCAGAGCCCTATATCCATTGCCTGTGTCTCTGATGCGACTCCTTTTTTAAAATTATTATGAATCCTTTATCTCCATTCTACCTTACTTCTATTGGTTTTATTAAGAACAATTTGTTGAACTAATGTTGGTGGGTAGGCCAGTATTCTGATAGACTGGCTGGAATTGTTATATAAGTATGTGTGTTTGTTTGTGTGTGTGTGTGTGTACAATAGAAGTACATGGTAACTAAATGTTTAGTTTTAATAGTGTTTCAGTTGTAATAAATCCTGTATGTCTTTTTGTTTAGAAGAGGGAAAGAAATTTGGAAGAACATGAGGATTCTAGCATTAAAAATGTAGACTACTTAAGAATGAAAATGGCCCATTCGTTTTAATTGGGCTTTAGATAAGAGTTACTTCAAACATAAACATTTAATTCATAGTTCACCTTTCCTCCATGGTACTCAATGTAACTTATATAGTCTTCCCAAGTGTTTATCCATCTAAGTACTAATCAGTCCAAATCTGTCACTTCATGTGATCTGGATTCCTGCTGTTGCACAAACCAATAGGTTTGGGCGAATCAATCAACACAGAACATTCACAACTCTGTGCTTGTTTCCAAAGATATCAATGTTTAATGTTGTGCTTAAGTTCCATGGAAACAGGGGAACAAACTGGGAAGAATTGATTAGAGGATGAATGCTGTTCAATGTTTTATGCCAATTCCTGATGTAGATGCTGTTTCTCACTAAAGTCTTGAATTCTGTTAAGTATTTAGAGGTCAGCACAATAAAATGAGTCTACAATTAAAACCTAAACATTCAATTGGCTTGCTTACACTAAAGCTAATTACAGCAGATGGTACCTTCTGGGAATAGGAAACTTACAGAAGGAGCTTTCCTCTAGTTACAGTAGCGTGAATAACATGAAGCCACTTACCAGCTGGTGTTTCTCCTGCTTCCAAAATATCCAGTATCATTTTTCTGAATCTGCATGTTGCTATTATAGCAGCCATTAAGACATGGTTCAAGGGAACCTAAATTAAAGGAACAAGAAATTTTTGAAGCTACAATAAAGGGATGAATGCTTATATTTTACAGATATGAAGGAAAGTACTGCTGCAATCATTTAATTACTTTTTGATGTGTGTGAGTTTAAAAGACAAGACTGAACTTGTGTAACACCAGTCTTTGGAATAGCATCTGTGTATTGACTCATAGCAAGCCTGCATTTGAATTTATTGAATACACTAATTCATCCATTCATTTGCTGACTTCATTCTATAACGTAATTCTGAAGCTCTCTTAATGGGGATTTTAGTTCAATTGACTGGTGTTTATATTTGAGAATAGATAGTATCCGGCAAGCTATTCTCCTAATGAAGTCTCTCGGTAAGGGATGTTTCTATAGCGCCAGGAAATCAGGAAAGACTGATTTGAGGATTTGTGCAATGTTGAGAAAAAGATACTTGAAAAAAAAAATTGGATGCCTGACAATATTTTTCCCTTTCTGTCACAGCCACAACAAGAGAGTAGAGATGACTCAAGTTTGTCAGATGTTCATTGTTTGCTTCTTAGAGGCATTTCATCTGAGTTACATGACAAGGAATATTGTTGAAGTGGTAGGAACTGTAGAAGTTCTCATACTTGGTGGAATGGCCTGGTGAGTCTCTACCTGAGGAGACTGAGAAGGATGAATTGAGATGATGGGGGAATCAGAGATGGTTGGGATGTTTATGCCTAGCAAGTGGTATGTCTGAAATTGAAGGCATTTAGGACTACCTGGAAGCCAACTGGATAAAAGCTTAAGGCTGTTAAAAAAGGTATTTACCAGATTAAATCATCTTTGTGGATCCCTTACAACACATGTTAGGATTCCATAAGGCAGATTTGTGTTCCTATACTCAGAAGGTTTGGAAAAGCCCTAAAATGTTGGCAAAGAGGCACATTGAAGCTTTGGGTAGAAATAGATTTGTTTGGTCTCTGTAGATAATTGACGTTGAAGTCAAAGAAGGAAACTTGATTCATCTCCATTTGTTGTAATGGTCAAAACTTTGTGGGTTACAGTCTACTTCTAAGGTTTCTATCAGGTATGTTAGTGTATGTGTATGTGTGGATAATTATAATACAATACATTAATGCAACATAGCTTATTATAATGCAATACCCTTGCTTCAACATGTATTTCAGTAGTAAGGAATGTCTATGTGTATGAGCCAAAATCTTTTTATCTTACATCTCACTGATGCTAATACCACACTTTACATATAGCAAAAGAGATTGTGTCGATAATTCTTTGATTTACTATCCAAAAATATCAGAATATTACAGTGCTTCCACCATTTAAACCCATTATTTTAAATCTTTATTTTGCACAATAGTTTCTCTTATAGGCAGCACACATTAAGGATAAAATTGCCATTCATACAATTTAGAATTAGTTTCATTGGTTCTTTGTCTAAATTGTCTAAATTCTTGCATGCCAAGGATGATATTTTGCAGGATTGTGGGAGGCTCTCACCTTTCCACACAAATAATGCATTCTCTTCTTCCATGGATTCTTTAGAGGCAACATCTGCTGATTCTTGTCATGCAAGAATTTAGACAATTTAGACAAATGTACATCTGCTCCATTTGATAATGATACAAATAAATTTTGAATAGAAATCTGAACAATTAAAACTTCTGGGAAAAAAAACATGGCCCAATCCATTAGAACAAGGAGGCTGATGATTTACTGTGGTCATTATGTGATATGCTGGGGGCCAAATCTCCAAAGTAGTGGGTAATACCTGAACAAGTATTACCTTTTATTTATTTTTATTAAAAATAAAAATAGTTTAAATTATTATCATCAAGCTCTGTTTTTAAATAATCTCTTCCCATCACATTAAATATTACATTTTATTAATTAGTAATTTTGAAGTCACTATCACAGCAACATCTCAGTTCTGATGCTCTGCTTTTTTTTAACAGAGTATGACAAGAAATAAATCTATGCAGTATTGGGTGACTTTTTCAAATTAGGTTTCAAAATGCCCTCTTATGTGGAAAAATACATTTGTGACCATTTTCCCACTTTGTTTATTTTAGAGATTCAAGATTTTTAATTACCTGTGGATTCTGAAGAGAAGGTGGAAAAGGAAACAGGGTCCTACAAGAAATAGAATTTGCAGAATCTAATCCGAGAGGTTTTATCTTCCAAGCTTTTGGACCTATGCTGGAGCTCATCCTCAGAGAATTTCTCTCTGGCAGAGTGTGTATGAAAATAGAATTTCATCCTCCATCTATCAGTGAACCAAACTTTCTGAGCAATATAGATAGCACACAATCAAGAACTTAACTCCTGTTCTTTGAAGGTACCATGTGAACCTGTCTTGGGATTATTCTATTTCTGGTGTGCTGTTTAGACCTCCTGCTGCCACAAATACAACAGAATGTCTCAGACGCATGCAGCAATCTTGTCAGATTCTCCTGCGATTATCAACCATAAAGGAGATGTCTCATCTCAGATATCTGCATGGTCAGGCAAGTTGCTACCGGTAGTTGCAGTGGAGAAGACTCCTGAGGCTGCTAGTTCACAAAAGAAAGAAAGATTGTGTGCTCAGCATCAGGAGAGATGGATCAACACCCAGGAGCCTGAAAACAAAGAAACTTCCTATGGCTCTTCCAGTCTTCAAGATTCCTTTCGCTCACATTTTAGTTTTATTCAGCTCTCACTAAACTCAGCCTCTGAAGCCACTGCAGGTGCATCAGGAAGTAGGGAATCTAAAGAAACTGTGCAATTTGGTGGAGTAGAGAAAACAGAAAATATTAATTTTCATCTACCTGGAGAAGTCCAAAGGATTTCACAAACGGAACTGTGGGCTTCATGTAGCTCCCTGTGCGATGAAGTTGGTACCTGTCTGTCAGAAGCTGCCAAGGATGACATTTTGCAGGACTGTGGGAGGCTCGCACCTTTCCACCCAAATAATGCATTCTCTTCTTCCATGGATTCTTTAGAGGCAACATCTGCTGATTCGTCGGTGACTTCAGGCTATGAGAGTTGTGGCATTGCTAGTGACCACAGTTGGGATTTTCTGATGAAGGAGTATGAACCAGTACTACAGGAATGTTTGTTGGGCAATCGATGTTTAGTAAAGGTTAGAGTACTCTTTATGCCCATTTTGTGTGATAGAATTTTAAGCAGGTATAGACATTCAACATAAAGCAATGCAATAGCTGTTGTAATGTTTACTTGGGGGGGTGGTGCTTCTAATGAGAATTTGAGAAGGTGCCTATGAATATATTGTTGGATGGTTATAATTAGTAAGAAAACAAAGTTACAGAAGTACAGAATTACATTGTTGGAAGGGATCTTGGAGGTCTTCTAGTCCAACCTCCTTCCCTCCTCCACTCAAGTAGGAGTCCATATACCATTCTGGACAAATGGCTGTCCAATCTGTTCTTTAAAACCTCCAGTGATGGAGCACCCAAAAGTTCTAAAATGCCTCCTTGTCTTCCAAATATTTCGATCCTTTCTACTCTCTTTTTGTCAATAGTTTGCAATATTTACTACCCTTCAATCTCATGTTAGTTTTCTCCCAATGTCCTTGCTATATATTTTTCCCCATTTTTTTGGATCTCACCTATCCAATCTTTCAGAATGCTGCCTCTGCTCCTGGTGAACCCTACCTAAATGGAATTAACTACTTTTTGACTTAAGATTTCCTGGTTGAAGCCTCCAAATCTCAAGATGTGTAAAATAAGCAGTCTGCCTTGTGTCTGATTTTTTTTTCAATTAGGGAATCATGGGAAACTTGCCTGATTTTCACACCTTCATATAAATATATTTGGTCATTATATCATTATGTCTATTCTGGGTGCTCTTGAATTCTGAATGATGACTGTGCAATGTGAGGTGACAGAAATGTCTTCAGAAATGGGTGGGCCAAGTAGGATGAAATAAAAACCTTTGAATTGTTGTGAGAATAGATGCAATGCTTAGGACACAATTTTTTGAAGCAGCATAGAGGAATATTTCTCATGATCTTTTGATTGATACAGATAAAATCCTTGATGAGAAAACTTCAGAAGCTTCAGGAGAAAGCAGTAGCTGAGGATGACTATGAGAAAGGTATGTTTCCGACAATCAGTTGCTGCTGTAAGTTGTGGATGGGCAAAGCCCAGAACTCACATTTATTTGCACAACAGTTACGCAAGGTAGTTTAAGAAGAAAATGGCTTGTCAATTCCAGTGTCATCTCAGTCTAGGTTCTCTGTGCCTCAGTAGTAAGATCCTTAACATGTGAAAAAACATTTTTTTAAAAGCACATCATAGTTATTCCATTTTACATGTGCATATCTGTAGGATTGAGACTCAGGCTCAATCCTGACAAGACCGAGTGGCTTTGGATGTTGCCTCCCAAGGATCATGTTAACTGTCCAGTGTTGACTCTAGCAGGGGAAAATATACCCCCTTCAGAGCAGGTTCGCAACTTGGGTGTCCTCCTTGATCCACAGCTGAAATTGGAACATCATTTGACGGCTGTGGCTGGGAGGACCTTTGCACAAGTTCTTCTGTTGCACCAGTTGTGACCCTACCTGGACCAGGAGGCTCTCCTTACAGTCACTCATGCCCTTGTCACCTCACGCCTGGACTACTGCAACGCGCTCTACATGGGGCTACCCTTGAAAAGTATTTGGAGACTACAGTTGGTCCAGAATGCAGCCGTGCGAGTGATAGCGGGTGTTCCTCGGTACATCACGTTACACCTATCCTCCGCGAGCTGCACTGGTTGCCTATTGGTCTCTGGGTCCAATTCAAGGTGTTGGTTATTACCTTTAAAGCTCTATATGGCTCAGGGCCAGGCTATTTGTGAGACTGCCTACTACCTCATAGTTCCCTTCGTCCGGTTAGATCCCACAGACTGGGCCTCCTTTGGGTCCCATCGGCCAAGCAGTGCCATTTGGCGGGGCCGCGGGGGAGGGCTTTCTCTGTGATGGCACCCACGTCTTGGAACAAACTCCCCCCAGAGATTAGGACCGCTCCCACTGTGTTGGTTTTCCGCAAGCTGCTTAAGACCTGACTTTTCCGGCAGGCCTGGGGTTTATAAAATCTGACCCCTGGATGAATGTTACTGTATTGTTTGTCTTGTTAAGTTATATTGTGTTTTTATTGTTAGCCGCCCGGAGTCCTTCGGGAGTGGGGCGGTCTATAAATTTTAATAAATAAATAAATAAATAAATAAATAGTGGACTCAAATAAATTAAACCTTCTTTTGGAATTAAGAGGCAGTAAGAGGCAGTGTAGATGGGAGGCCTTTTACTTGTGTGTGATTTTTGTGGTCCAAATTACTCTCTTCCTCTATAAGGAACACCTGCACTTTAAGTGGGACAATCTGGCAGTGGGAAGGACATGGGGAAAGGCTGATAACCATTCCTGTCCTCAAAAAATAGTTGCCGTCCTGTTCTCTAGCAATGGAACAATCTGGCAGGGTAAATAATAAGCTGTAAGTCTCATGCAAGCCTAAAGGCTACTGGTATCAGAACCATAGTCTATGTACTTACAAATCTGTGAAGGGGCACTTTGAATAACTTAGATTCTGATTACTTTCAAAAAATACTTATAACCAGATGAGTGGGAAACTAAAAAAAAGGTTAGATTTTTTTCCTTTCCTCAGCTATTTCTATCTCTAGATCTAAATCCATGTCTATTTGTGCCACCAGGAGGCCGTTGTGTTCACATGATCCTGGGGAGGTTGTTGAGTTTTTCTATTTTTCAATGGCAGTCATTTGCATTAAGGAATCTCACTTGTAGTGAAAATTCATGTTAAAAAGTGGTTTTCTCAATGCAGATTTTGAAGCAGAATTATGTTTAATTTTCACAATTACATTTGGCACTTCATTTTTCCTGCATCTCCAAGACTGACAAATATGTCAATTTTCTGACATTACACTTTTAGGCATTGTTTTATTAGTAGGTATCAATAAGTGATTAGTTTTTTCTAACCTTTTAACTCTTTAATCTACTCACTTCTTTTTCTTCCATTTTTCCTAATGGATATTTGGATATTCTGTATCAGATGAACAGTATTCTCAAAACGTTTTATAAAATCCACAGTTTGTTTTCAAGAGTGTTTTTTAAAGTAGAACAGAATGAATAATTAAAATGTTATGTTCTTTTCCATATTGTTTGAACTTTCTTAATTTTGGGGGGATTAATAAGTTTATTTAAAATAGCAAAGTCAAAGTCACACTTGGAGGAAAAAAATGTAAATAACTATATGAATGGATTATTTACCATTGCACTCCTTTGTGCAAACTTCATTGACATAATTTTCCTCTTGCTGTTCTTGAAGAGCAATTATAAAACTAACTGATTCACTATATAAAATCAGTTAATAACCTTGTTACGTTTAGAAAATCTGTCAGATTTTTTTTTTCTTTCAAAATGAGCAGAAGCAAGCTCTTATATAGCTATTTTCTTTCTTCTGGTAAACATTCATTCCTTTAACAGACTAAATGCTGCTTAATAGTTTTCTACCAGCATTTCCCCATCTTAATAGTTTTCCATTTGTTTTCCATCTTAGGAACATTCTATGAAGAAGTCCACCTATTTGTTCTGATTTATAATTTATATAACATTTGCAATTCATTTTTTTACATCAAAAACAACCACCTTTAAGCCATGCTCCTTATTTTAACACATCTTCTATCTAATATTTTTTGCAAATCATTCCCATTTGTAGCTAATAACATACTGTATACAAAATATGTACACCTTGTCTCTACTCTATGTGCTTCTACAACATCATCAGAAGCATTACTTACAAATTTACTCATAAATACATCAAACAATGAAGAGACATCACATATTTTTTTTTATTTTGTGTTCAGTGTTGAAGACTGGCAATTGCTACAGCCATACCATTTCCCCATCATTTTTATAGCTTTTATGACTTCCTTTTTTCAGTTTTTTTTCCTGAGCACTAACATTAACAGCATTTATTCCTATTCCACTCTAATATATCAGTATTACATCTACAAAATTTTAAAATACTTCTTCCCCTATCCTCTCATTTCAGTTCCATCCCAAATAATTCCCTATTCTTCTGAGGACATAGTTGCTTGCACTACCATTTTTGTAGTAACAGATCATGTGTAGAATATACGAAAAGGATCTTTTATGGGTTTGTTAGAAAGCCCGGTTAGAGGTCTTTTAGCTTCGAGGCAATCTAAGTCAAACCAATTCTCTGTGTGAAAAATCTGATCTCTGGTCTGTGGGGCTGTGGCTGCTATAACACCAGGCTGAAGGAGCTGGATTACATTATTGATGGCTTGAAATTGGCTCCCCAGAGTAGATGACAACGAAACTGCATCAGGTTTTAAAATGTTACAAATCATTTCTCCCAGTTGGGGTGCCCGTTTCATATGGATAGGGCAAAGGTCACCTTCCTCCATGATAATAGGGGTCAAATCAAGAAATAATATATTAGGCAAAAAACTTTGGGCATAACATAGAGTTAGAAAACTCTATTATCTCTATTCACTTTGCTGGTGCTCCTTGGTTAGCCCTTTTAACCCATGTCCATTACATTTTTTTTAATTCCATCAAAATTTGCTCTGCATTTTCTCCGTCTGTTTTAAGCTTAATGTTCCTTGCTTTCTTTGGCATACTTTTAAACATTTTTTCTATCTATGCACATAATGCAGTATTTTACTTTTATCCTCAGTTTTGGCACCAATTTATATATGTACATGCACACTCATGCAACACACATATATTGCACATCCCCTTTTATTTTACAATGCCATTCATTTTTATCCTTCCCTTTAGTACACTCTGTGACACTCTGTAACATACTATACTTCCAAGCAACTACTTCTCCTCCTCCTCCTCCTCCTCCTCCTCCTCCTCCTCCTCCTCCTCCTCATCGATCCACTTTTTGAGGCTGTTAAATAATGGTCTGTCTTACATTCAGCCCTCCTGTGTACTTCTTTCCTTTCATTATAAAATTGAAACAAACCATTCTTTTCTATGCATTGCCTTTTCATTAACATGAATTGAAAATGAATAGGTTGAGGCTTAACCCATATATGCAAAACAAACAGGTCTTTTTCTGAGTGTATTCTCTCTAAATAGTCAGCATACTCATTCTAGGATTTCCAAATAGCCTAAACATGTCTTCTATATTCTTTTGTTCCACCCACCTATTCGTGGCACCCAAAGAATAATTTTCTCACTGCATTGTATTCATTCTGAATATTGCATTTTCTTCCCAGATTCATCACTGGATTTCCATTATCCTGGTTCACAGGAGTGTAACATGCAACTATTAGACTCCTATAGATTTCTACTTTCCTTTACCATAACAATAATCTAGGTGGTATAGATTCTTACTTTCTGACCTATATTTCAACCCTTTTACGATGGAGCCTATACTTTTATTTCCTAGCATATTCATATACATATTCCACAGAATCAGGCTACCTCCCTTCAGTTCTATTACATTCTTTCTCTTCCTCTTAGTTTCACAAACATAAAACATAACTGTTGTCTTTCCTTTTGGTGATTCGTGCTCCTTGGCATTCAATTCTTTTCTCTTCCAAGTTGTAATACTCCACCTGCCTCGGTCTTCATCAGATATCTATAATTGTTTTGGCCAATTGAAGCTTTCATAGCTTGTTTGAGGAAGATTTAAAAAAAGGTTAACTAGGTTACCAATCTTAGAGGTTATAATTCCTGCCAATGGAAAAGACCATTTTGGAACATTTGAGAGGATGCCACAAAGGCAATCAGAATCCCTTTTTACCCCAAATAAAATCATGGTATTCTGTGCAAACTACGATTTCTACCATAGGCACTACATTGCCACCTAAGATATTGTTGCCCACATCTTGCAGTGTAGTGATATGCACTTTGGATACTATTTTGCTACCATTTGTTAATTTAATTTCTTAGGAAACCTATTTTATCTTGAACTTCCTAAAAGTGATTATATTATTTAGAGATTGAATTAACCTATCTTCATGAATATTTATGGCAGTTAAAAGAGGTATAAAATCATCATACCCAAAATATTTAAATAAATAGATTGCCTGATTACTTGACATTAATTCTTGAATTAATTATATT